ATATATAGATAGATAATGAAAAGCTTAAGATAAAAAAATTTAGATGAATTTTCTCATCTTCCCTCCAAATTCCTGAGGCCCTCTCAGTGCCCCCTGTTGATCCCGCTTTAAAAGACACTGGTGTCTGGGTCACTTTATTGCACAGACATCATAGGATTCAAGTTCACACATATCTGGTCTGAAAAATCAGAACTTCTAAAACCGTCTGTGGTGTGACACTACATTCTTTACTTATTTATTTTTTGAGTTTTAAGTTCAGATGATGAAATCATTTTTTGTGCCTTTGTCATGTTTCGAACAGGAACTGGAGGATCTAAACAAGTGGAGTTTTAACATATTCAAAGTAGCAGAGTTCTCCAATAACAGGCCGCTCAGCTGCATCATGTACGCCATCTTTCAGGTAAAGAGCAACAGAATCTCCTAAATTCCTCCTTGTGATTTTTAAAACATAGTTTTTCTTTTATTTATTTTATTTTCGAGGCTCTATCTTCTTCTTTGCTTACCTCTCCAGGAACGTGAGCTCCTGAAGACATTTCGAATGCCCGTTGACACTTTTGTCACTTACGTGATGACCCTAGAGGACCATTACCATGGAAACGTAGCTTACCACAACAGCCTCCATGCTGCAGATGTCGCCCAGTCCACACATGTGCTCCTCTCCACGCCTGCTCTGGATGTAGGTCCATCGGCCCAAACCGATTTGAAATTTGCTCAGTTTATTAACCTATTTATTAGCCTTTTGAACTGATGTACCATGGAGTTTTTTTGCCCCCCGACACACAAACAGTTTACGTCAGCTGTCGGCAAATTACGTCACTCCATTGTCCACTTACCGGCTCTTATGCTAGTTTGCAAAATATGAACAGCAGAATCAGTTGTTGTTCAACAATAATTACATAGATTTTTTGAAAAGGGAATCTTCTGTTGAAGATGCATAATCACAATACAATACTTTGACCTTTTAGAATTCTGCAACTAAATTTAACCAAAGTATGAAAAAAACTACTACCATAGTTCTAAAAACTAAACTAAATCTAAGCAGTATTTTACCAGTAATAACTGATAAAAAACTACCAAAAATGTACAAAAACTACCTTAAATAAACAAAAACAGCAACAAAATAAAACTAAATTATAACGAAAAACCCAAAACTATTTTTATGGATTCAATTTTCATCTGTAGTTGAAACTTTTTATCCAAAAAGTGAGGTTTTTTTTTTTTTAAATTGGTGTATTTTCATTAAGTGAATTGAAAACGCAGCTAGTGAAGCTCATTCTGTTGTCTTCTCTTTCTTTATCCCACCAGGCCGTCTTCACCGACCTGGAGATCCTCGCCGCTCTGTTTGCTGCAGCTATCCACGATGTAGACCACCCCGGAGTTTCCAACCAGTTCCTCATCAACACCAGTGAGCGCACCACAGCACGTGCATCAATAAGTGCCTCAATAAGTGCCTCATATTTTGTCCCGTTGCCGTTCACGTCCCCCTCCCCCTCCTCTTCTGAATCAGACTCAGAGTTGGCGCTGATGTACAACGACGAGTCGGTCCTGGAGAACCACCACCTGGCTGTGGGCTTCAAGCTCCTGCATCTGGAGAACTGCGACATTTTCCAGAACCTCACCAAGAGGCAGCGGCAGAGCCTGCGCAAACTCGTCATCGATATGGTCAGAGCCTCAGCAAAAACCACACCCAACACACACCCAGCAACACAAACACTGTCTCTGTCTGTCCTTACAATGCTGCAGGAATCCAACTTGTCTTTGGACGCTTTCGGGTTACATGTGTTGGTTTTCTGTGTTTAAGTTTCACGCTGCTCTATGTCATCTACGTGGGAGATGAACTCTTTGATGATGCCACTTTGTTTAAATTAGATTGTGTGAAGTACTATATATAAACAAGCCTGTCCCTGTAAGCAATTAATCATCTAATTGCATGGTAAATTAAAATGAGCTTGATCATTTCCATTTGGATGATTGATATTTTTTGAAGGGCAATATTTCTTACTGAGACTTCTTAATCCACTTTAATTCTGGTTTTGGTTGTGCGTGGTTTTATTTCCATTTCATTTATTATTTTTGGTTGTCAGATTTTATTTTGGATGTTTAAAATGTTTTCCAGTTCCAGTGTGGAGTGTCTTGGGAAAAATTAAAGTCTGTTGATCTTTGAGACGGCGAACTTGTATTATTATGCCGTTATCAAAATATTGCTTGAAAATGGTCTCAAAACAATTATCATTTATTGCAATCATTTTCAGGACAGTTTATCGTCCAGCAAAGTTAGTTATTGTGACAGACCTAACAATACATTGATTCTAGATTAAATCTGCTTAAAGCTACAGTATGTATCTTTCATATAGATAATTTTAACAAACATGTAAAAAACTATTTTATTATATGACAGATAATCTGTGAAAAAATGTCTCTGCTGTCATCTGAACAAATCCGCTGCGCCATCAGAACCAACCAAGCAGAGCCAGGAGGAGGGTCTTAGCGCCATCAGTCACCGTCACATATGCGCTGCTCACATCCTTCCGCTTGCTCTCTGCTACACTAAAGCTGATTCACTACAACATAGCCTGCCACAAACACTAAAGCTAGTTAGCATGGCCACCAATGACTGCGGATAAACAGTTTTCTTGGAGTTTAAGTTGTTTCTCCTCCTTTAGCACATTTAGCAGCGTGTACACAAAGTTGATTGACAGCGCCAAGACCTTCCTTCTTGCTATGATTGGTTGGTTTTGACTGGAACCAGCGCATTTCCTTGGACTCCAATAGTAGCACAGGGAGGACATGGAGGAGCTTGTTCTTTTCAAAGATTATCTGTCTCATATTACACATGATGACGGTTCTAAAAAATATTTATATAAAAAATATTTTTTAAAAAGTTACATACTTTAGCTTTAAAAGGTTTAAACTTACAATAAAATATTTTTTTGGACATGAATTTAAATCGAAGTTAAGTTAGTAATTCTGTAATAAATATAGATTTGTGGAGGGCTTTTAACAAAAAAGAAAAAAGTTTATTTAATAACTTACATTCTTGTGAATTTCAGTTATCTGAAGTTTAGGAGATTGTTCATTCAAATTATTTCCAACTAATTCCAATAATTAGGAGCATTTTTCAAAAAGGAAGATTATTGATCGCATTGGACTTCTGACAGTAATCTTAATTAGTACTAATTGGACGTTTTTAATCCTTTATGTCCTAAACAGCGACTCTTAATGAACAAGGGCTAGACTAGGAAGTCAGACACAAACAACCAAAACATGAAAAGAATAGTAAGATGTAAATGAGTGTGTCGGTGTGCAGGTGTTGGCCACAGACATGTCTAAACACATGACTCTGCTGGCTGATCTGAAGACCATGGTGGAAACCAAGAAGGTGACGAGTTCAGGTGTTTTGCTGCTAGATCACTACACAGAGAGGATACAGGTAAGGTGGCATGAAAATGTTCTTTTTGCCCATTTTGATGCCTGAAATGCCTTTAACCTTTGTCTGTATCAGTCCTTGAAGTACCTTCAATGTTTTATTTTTGTTTTTTTTTTCTTGCAGGTGCTGAAGAACATGGTCCACTGTGCCGACCTGAGCAACCCAACAAAACCGCTACCGTTATACAGGCAGTGGACGGAGAGGATTATGGAGGAGTTCTTCCGACAGGGCGACAAAGAACGAGAGAGGGGGATGGAGATCAGCGCCATGTGCGACAAACACACTGCCTCTGTGGAGAAGAGTCAGGTAAAACTTCACCTGGGCTAATGCTAGCGCTAACAATGATCAGCTCACTCTAAAAATTCTCCTTCAGTCTCTTCTGGGCTTAACAGAAGAGATAATCTGAAATCCTTTGGTTGATGGTGAGATTGTTCATGTGAGCATCTTAGAATTTTAATCTGAGTCATGCTCTACATTTGCTACTAAGATGGTGGAAAACCTTGTGGATATCGATAATTATTGATCTTTTTTTTTTGTTTTAAGTATTTGAAATGCAGCCAAACTGGTGGTAAGACTGTTCCTGTTTTAGCCACAGTTTTCTCTCCACTGTTTTTTTATTCTGAAGCAGTTATGAGGCAAAACATGAACAATTCAACAGGTTGTTGCTAGGTAACTGTAGAGTGAGGTAGTTGATGCCACCAACCTTGCTTAGCTTGCCATAAGAGGTAGAGCAGCTACAGTCTTTCCTCTGCCTACATCTCCCAGAATGCTTCAGTGAATATTCTATGAATCGACTATTGAATATTCTATCAGATGCATTATCTACTGATACTGACAAGTGTCAGTATCAGTAGATCACTTCCACCACATGTGACCTACCATAGTTTCATCAGTTGCCACTCAGGGCGTTTCCTCTCAATTTGAACTTCCTCACTGGAATGTGTTGCCAGATTTGTCTGATGTGAAGGCTTCTGATTCCAGCACCTTTTGCACATTAAGCTTTGCTTGAATCTTGCTGCTTTGTACCAGTAGGAGGCAGCAGCTCTCCTCTCACATCTTACAGAAACATCAGACATGCCATGTTTTCTTTAGCAATATGCTAAAGAGAATAACATGCTAACAGCTTTGATCACTGTTGCCATGTTGGTCATTGTGGAGAATCACGTTGCTTTTTTATTTAAAGCAGCCAGTAGTTTGTGCAACTTTCCTGCAACTTAAACTTGTTTCTGCTTTTTATGTAATAACTACATAGCTCAATTTGTTTCAGTGGGTTTTTATGTACTAGATCAAAGCAGTGTGAAGTATAAGATTTACAAGTGTAAATTCTTTAGAAACACGGGGGGGAGGGGGGGTCTTTGCATTTAGCCCTATTGACTCTGTGTTTATGTGAACATTTATCTCTCTTCTGTATCTGTGCATGGTCATAGTCCATGTCTATATTCTTTGCTGCCATTTGACTTCAGAACATAAACTTAAATAATTTTGAAGGAACTCAGGATGTGACATTATGCTTAGAAAACTCTTAAAGGGGGGATAATATTCTGAGCATCAGTCCCTCATCAAACACACAGTCAGATGGTAACAGTTTCTCAATTATTCTATGAAATTGTTCTATGTCCCTGGAAAATACATGACACCCCCGAGTTTACTCTGGACTCGGCTTATAGATTTATAGTCACATATTTCCATGTACATATTTGTTCATATTTCAATTTATTTAATTAATTTTATATTTAGGTCATATTTAAATTAGTTGTAATGTCACACTCATGTTATACATTTTATATTTCTATTGTTACATTTATTTGCTAATATTTAGCACTGGATGGGAGTAGCTTGTCAGCAAATAAGCAATTTCCCCTTGGGGAGCAATAAGGTACATTCTGATTTTTGACTCTAAAGTAGAGAAACGGGGTAACACTTGTTTTACACGTAAGGCTTGATTTACTACGAGGTTTCGCACTCAGTCTGTGAGTTCGTCAACACTGGGAGCTCGGCTTGACTGTTTGCAGGTGTGTGGAAAAAACACCTGCCCATCTCCACCCTCTAGTAAAGCCAGCCTTAGTCCTATTGCGCCCTCTGGTGGAAATCTGAAAGTTAGGAAGAAACCTCCACACAATACAAACACCCCAGACTCCTAACACATACATGTAAAAGACTTGAATGGTTTTGATCAAAACATTTCACTGTTTTAGAATGGACCTGTCAGAAATTCTTGCAGTATTTGCACAAAAGTCCTGACACAACTGTCCGTATGTCAGGGGAGGAAGTATTAGCATTAGTATTGCTAAAACTAAATGCAGTCAAAAGTTCCCTCAAGGATCCTGTTTGTAGCAGAATGCATATGCATTATTTAGCATCCTTTGGGTACATTTAATCATTTACTGTGAAACATTTTGACATTCTTAATATAAGTCAAAGCTTTTCAAGCATAAGAGGACTCTGGAAAGAGACTTCAACTCTACCAACTGGCTAAATTTAGCTTAAATGTCTGCTGGCTTTGATATCAAAACTTTATCTGAACTTTCAGAGACAAACATGAACATTTAACCTCACTTTTATAATCATATTGCAAGAATGTTGTGCTATGGCCTTGTGTGTCTATAGGCAGCGTTCTTCATTCATTTCCTGAATGTGGAACTTGCACAATGAGGTGATAATCCCTTCCCTCCTCTAGCCAAGCGACTGACGAAATTCATACTTGTAGACGTAGAAACGTGGGCTATCGACGCAACACAAGGAAGTTGAAAAATGTCCAACTTCCGTTGCTAATGCATCCCATGTGTTGTGTTCACCTCGAATTGCTACCTGTCTGTTGAGTTCATAAAGGGTTCAGCTTTCTGCCTGTAGTAGTGATCCCTTCTACAGGCAGGGATCACTACACAGGAACGCATAAGGAAAGTTCCTGTGTTGGGAACGCATAAGGAACGCCCCAGGCCTCAAGCCTCAGGCCTCATATGTGTGAACATTTCACTACTTTGACGTGCATACAACGTGCAAACAAAGCGAAAATACGTGATGTTTACACAACCAATAGGCTTATGCATGTCAGGCATCATTAATGTGTAAACAATGTGCAAAATATGTGTTAACAGCACGTATTTCACGCTTTGTTTATGAACTGCCAACATGTACTTCACACGTTTACCCGTTGATAACGTTTGACATTTTTGATTCCTATCGGATGGGTATACATCATGTACTTTACATGTTGTTTGCATGTTGCATACACATCAGAGTGACGTGAAATGTTCACACCAATATGACGCTGGCGGCGTTCCATATGTGTGCGTACGTCTATGTTCACCAGCTCGAAATTTCACATGCACGAATTTTGTCAGCCTTTTGGCTGGAGAAGGGCAAGCAACTGTCTCCTCATCGTTCAAGATCCACAGGACATGAACGGAGAGGGAGCGACATCGCATGCATTGTGTCTTGTCAGCAAAATGCTAACAATTTTCTTAATCAATGTGAACTCTACACACAGAAATAAAGATGTACTTTTTCCACAATTAGCACTACTTTCCTTGCATGTCTTCAAGTGGGTAAACATTTTTTCCCCTTGCTGTTCTCTCCTTTCAAGGTTGGCTTCATTGACTACATTGTTCACCCTCTGTGGGAGACTTGGGCCGACCTGGTGCACCCGGACGCCCAGGAGATCCTGGACACCTTAGAGGAGAACAGAGACTGGTACCTCAACACCATGCCCCAGTCGCCTTCACCTCCCCCTGACAGACATCTCCAGCATGACCGCTTCCAGTTTGAACTCACACTCGAGGAGCTGGAGCACAACAATCACAACAACATGTACCTAAGGAGCGGCAGGAACAGCCAGAAAGCCACGTGTGATGACAGCGACATGGAGAGAACGCAAGAAGACACTGAAGAGGAGGATCAGAAGCAGGCTGATGCTGACGAAGAGGATGAGGAGAGCCACAATGGCGAACAGAACGGAATACAGGAGGAAGAGGAGGAACGCACTGACGGAAATGAAGGGGAGGAAGCCGAAGAGGAGCTAGAAGAAGTTCAAGAGGAGCAAGGATGGGAAGAAGTCAACGGTGAACAAGATGAAGAAATAAAAGAAGAGGATGAGAAAGACGAGGATGATGAGGAAGAGGTGACCAAGGATGAGGTTGAAGTTGAGGAAGCCGAAGTAGATGAAAACCAAGAGGAGGAAGAGAATGCAGAAGTAGAGGAGGAGATAGAGGAGAATGAAGCTGAAGGCAGCACAGAAGACGGTAAAGAGGACGGGACAGAAATGGACAGTAAAGACGAGGAGGCAGAGGACAATGCAGAAGAGGAAGAAGAAGCACCTCAGGAGGGTGAGGAAGATGATGAACAAAAGGAAGAGGAGAGTTAGCCGAAGAAAGTATAAATGAGGAAAACTGCCAAAGGGGAGATAATCAGGATCCCAGAGCGACCGCGAAAAAGAGCCGAAACGTGTCCGTCTTTCCAGAGAACGCGCTCTAACCGCTTTACTTTCTGAAAGTCAGATTGGACTTTTCTTTAGAGCAATATTTTACACCACCGGTGAAGCGTCAGAGACGAGGAAACTCTTTGGATTTTTCTAAACAGCCTAGTCATTGCAGGAAGCGGATCATCAGGTAGTGGCAGAAACTGGGGTCTTCCAATCCTGTCGGTGCATCTATTACTGCCGTTTGGGATAAATGGGGACTTATTAGTAACAAGACTGAGGGTTAGGGGTTGGGGGAGGTTTAATCAACCGTTTTGTAGCTCTTGGGAATAAATTAAAGGAAAAAAATATATGCTGAAATAATGTACATGCAAATAAGCGTGTGCCTGTTTCTCGGTTGTTATAGACTGTCACGCGTTGTTTCTTGGTCACCGTCTAATGTCTTATTGATGAGGACCATAACACACACACATACACACATAGACCATAATAACTCAAAAGCAAATCTTAAAATTACAATGCCATATTAGGGCCATTGTAGATCTAATACGCCGTTGTGTAAAATAAATTCAGAAAAGAGATTTAAAAAACGCCACCAGGAAGGTGTAACTTGCCATCTTTTATTGAATATGAACCCGTTTTCCAACCTGTGAGCAGATTGTTTCACACACAGAATCAGCCAGAGCTCCTCACTTCCAGCAACGAAGCTGGTTTTCTGACCCCAGACTGTTCTTGTCACAGTGGAAAACCTACGAGGCTGGTGTGTTGTATGTCGTCGATGTTCAGTCGTGTGGAGATTACAACTAAATAATCGCACCGAGTGTTTATGCCATTGTGACATTGTCACCTGAGTTGTGCCAAAACGTCCCACAACCAGCACTGAGCAACGCAGCCTCTGGAGAGGGCGGCTACTGATCACGAAGCAATGAATCCGTGGGACCAGGCCAACAGGTGTGATGGTCTTCCACAAATGTATGTTTTTGTTTTTTGTAAAAAAAAAAAAAAAAAAGAAAAAAAATGTTTTTGGCACTTTATCAAACACCCTTGTTGCATATATGTACATAATAAACATGTATTTTAATCTGCTGATGTCATATATTAAATATGATTAACTCATTTGCTGGTTTAGCGTCTTGTTCATTGAAGAGTATTTCTACCGCTTTGACTTTTACACATTTTTGTCACATTGAAACCAGAATCTTCAATGTATTTTATTTCAATTTTATGATAGACGTAGAAGCACATAGAAGAGGAAAGGGAGGAAAATAAAATGATGGAGCTGTTTAGTTTGATTTTTTAAAAGAAAAATCTGAAAAAGGGGAGTGCATTTGTGTACTCTGATACTCCTAAACAAAACTCATTACAACACAACCAATTGATCACCTAATTAATAAATGGAGTCCTCATTTCTCCATAAAAACTACAAAACCATTTCCATAAAAACCCAGCTTTTGTGGGAAAGCCTCAAAGGTTTGTTAGACAAACAGCATCATGAAAAAAGTTGAGGGGATGGTTAAAGGAGAGTTAGGTTATAAAACTATATCAACGTTTTAAAAATTTGGATATAGCCATCCCCTGTTAAATTCCACTGGAGCTGAAGCTGGATAAAATACGCCTTTATTAAATCCCACTATATTGGGAATGAAACAGCGCCATCTGCTGTCACTGGTCGTACCTGCACTGTATAGCAACCGTGGGAACTGTGGATCAGAACTCCTTTAGCCCAGCCCCTCTGGGTTATGGAGAAACCCAGAGGGGCTGAATATTAAGTATTAATATTAGACGAGGTAACACATCAGCATATGTGTGCAGATAAAACATAAAATGTGAATCATTTATTTAAGTTCTAAAAACTAACTATTATATTAAGTTTTATGCTTTTTATTTTGCTTTTTGCCATTAATTATTGCTGTTAGTTGTTGAATTATTATTATTTTTTTTGTATTTTCTGTGATTTTATGATGCGTTCATTTTATTACCCACAACGACTGACTTACTGTGGTATTTTGTGCAGGAACTATGTACAATTTGACAATGTTTTGCAAATATTCTGTGATACTTTTGATAAGAGTTTTAGTCTTTTGTTGTTAACATATGAGTTGCACACTAAAAGAAAAAGACATAAAAGTGACACATCACATTATTGTTCTTGTTTCCATTTTAAAGCAACAAGTCTAAGATTTTCTGCTTTTTTATATATGTATAATTCCAATTATTTGATAACAAGAATAATTTAAGTTAGTAATATTATTGTATTGTCATTATTATTATCATTATTATTATTATTATTATTATTATTATTATTATTATTATTATTATCAAGAAGAAAATACAAGAAAATGAGCTGAGCTCATTGTTATGCTATTTATTTCACGCCAATCCAACCTGTTATTTGTTCAGCCTGATGTCATTCACACACCGCAAGAACAGAGAAATCTGTTCCTTTACTTAAGGTGATAAGAACAAGAGGAAGAACTAAAGCCATACTAAAACTATGATTTCAGAAAAATGCATTTTTGTTCTTGCAGAATGGGTGTATTTTATATGAATGCAAATATGACCTCCAGTGTTTGATGCATGATTTTACTTAAAGACATTTTCTTGCAGATAGACTCTCAAACTAATATTTCATCACTTTGATATTGCAAACGTTTTCATGAGCTAAGTGCCATTTAATTTAAACTCCAATCTAAAAACCAGAAGCACGTTCAGTCTTGTGTCATACTACTAACTTGTGGCAACATTATCCAAAATGTGTTGCAACATATAAGACTACCACATGGAGGTGCTGTTGCTTTATAGATAGAACTAATATCTATCTGATTATTATGATATGTTGCGTTACTGCTGGGCAGTTTCTGAAACACAGATCTACAGATCACCACAACCTTTATGTGTTATGTGATATTATTGCAGCAAAGCAAAACGAACACTACAACACAGAGGTTACAGGGGACAGAGACAAGAAGACGAGATGTTATGGAGAAACCCAGAGGGGCTGAATATTAAGTATTAAGTAAAGTCAAGCTTTTTAGCTTTATATCATGTCATAATGTTATTCCCTCATCAAAATACCTGGAGTGTTGCTTTGATTCTTTCATGCATGTTTGAGAAATCCTTTAAAGGGGTTTAAATTATGTTTTACAGTCACACAGTGCCATTTATAGCACATAACTATAACTATGTTACCTTCAGTTGTTATATAAGAAAAATACTACATATAATATGACATGAAAGAAATTTGACTTCATAATTTCTCCCCTTAAAACTCCCCTTAAAAAACGTCAGCTCTTTCTGAAACTCCACCTTCAGGAAGTCATCACAACATGGCTCCTCTGTTAACCCTTTAACAACATTTTTACCAGCATTGCAAATGTGCAATTCCACCAGGTGTTTGCTAAATTGCTGCTGCCGCTAGTCTGAAGGAGCTGAGTCGTGGGTGAGGATTTGTGTTTCAATGCAAGAGACATTGTTAACTAAACTGTTAATTAAAATGACTATTAATAGTTTTTAATTTCAGCATTTAAACAGCATTTAGTTGTGTAATATCAGTCTGTGCAGTTCCAGGCTGACAGCAGAGGAGACTTCAGACAGCCCCACTTCAAAAATCCAGAATTACCCTTTTAAGAAGAAAGCATGCAATAAGCAGCTGTCAGGTGAGCGTGTCCATTGGTTCCTGATCCAACCAGTGGGCACCGCAGCAATCAACCTTTCCTGAGCGAACAAACTGAAGCGGAGCCATGGGGTGGGAGGAGATGTAAAACACAGAAACTGTCTGATCATAATGCAACAGTTCAGGGGTTCAGTAAACATTTTCCTGGTTGTCATTCACGTGAAGGTACAGTCACACGTTCAGCTGCAGCATAACACGGAAGCCCACAGTTTCCTAACATGCCCAGACAGCTGTGTTATTGCTCTGTTAATCAGGCGTGAGATTAACACACAAGCAAAAAGCTGGTGGTGACATGTCCGGCATGGTAAAGGTGCGAAAAAAACTAGGTCCTGTAGAGAATCGCAATTCCTCGTCCTGGCAGTTCGGAACCGATTCAGAATGCTCAAAAATCAAATTAAAAATACATTTTAGTTCGTATTTCTTTGCCTCACCTATTCAGGAGTTTATGGCATATCATGTTATAGAAACCCATCTCACCTGACATTTTGAATAACCTGACATTTTAAATATTTTTTGTTATTTCGGAAAGCCAGTCAGCTAAGCTAACCTAATAGTGGTAATTTAAGTTACAACATTTTATGGACAAACCTATATTTGTTTAAATATAAACAGATGAAATTTGATACAATACCTTACAGAATTGTTTCATCCATCCATCCATTTTCTGTTCACTTTTGTCCCTTAGTGGGGTCAGGAGGGTTGCTGGTGCCGATCTCCAGCTAACGTTCCGGGTGAGAGGCGGGGTCACCCTGGACAGGTCGCCAGACTGTCGCAGATTGTTTCAAAGGAATGTTCTAAAATTTGCCAAGACTGTCTTTTCCTCTTGCCAGTCATATAATTTAAACAGAATCTCTTGAATGAATAGAAAAATCGGTCTCTTAATCGAAAATAATTTCTGAATTAAAAATCGTTTCTGAATCGAATCGTGAGCCTAAAAGTCGGAATTGCATCTGTAGACATTGAAAGATTTGCACACATTAACATGCAGTAGCTGTGTTTCGATTAACCATAGAATTGCACAAATTGAAATTATAAAAAATAAATTTGCTTGATAAAAAAAAATGTTTTGACAAAAAGTTTTTGCGCTTGTATGAAAATATGTATTTTTGCAAATCTGCAATGGAAACACAATTTTTCACATCACACAAGTCACAACAGCTGGATGATGCTACCGGTGGAAAAGACGAAGAAAACGACAGGATGATGGTTTTCAGACAATCTTCAGCCGGCTCCACCAGAGCTCTCTCAGCATCACACACTTCATAAAGAGTTGTGTGTCATTCCAACGTGTTGAATCCAAAGCTCTTCTGTAAAATGGCCGAATACAATTTTCCCAAAACGGCGCATGCATAGCTGCTCTCTGATAGATGATGAGCATGAGATATATTCATAACTCCATGGCTGAGTTATGAATATATCTCATGTAACTGTTGACATCCGTCAATGCTGTGATTTTTAATCACTCATCACATGAATCATTCACGTATGATTTTCATTTAATGGAAACAAGGCAATTGCGAAATTGTGTTGTCTTTTTTTTTAAACATTAGCAGAATGTCGACAAAGATTTAAACCCATTTGATGACAGAAATGCAGCTACTGTTTCAAGTGGTCGTCCACTGAAAACAAACTGATTTGCTTTTAGGCCAAACAGACAAATGGAAAGCTCAGTGTAGCCTAATTGTTGGGGGTTAAGAGACGAGACAGAGCTGCGGAGGAGATAAACGTTTTTTCTCAGTTGTGGAAGCAAAATAAATAAGCATGAACAAAAAATGAATTTATGGCAATTTGGAGGAATCGGCTTGGCTAACTGGTTGTCTCTTCACCTCTAAAGAACCTGTTAAAAAATGTTGGGTGCTTGATTGGGATGAAAGGAAGAAGTTTGCCGTGCCTCAGCTGTGAATATCCCGCCCTCTTAGGGGAGCCTGGACGTGTGCTCATTTGTAATGCTGCTGCACATTAATGCTATCATTTATTTATTCTCCTGGCTGCAATTGTTAATGTAACACAGATTAGTCATTTCCCTGTTGTCGGTGGCATGCTCCTCTGTCGTGTCAGCAATCTCCATGTCCTCGCTCCCTCAGCACCCACTAATCCCCTCTTTCTCTACACACACATAAACAACTGTGCATGTCACAAAGGAAACAAAACAACAACAACACAATAGACTTGAAACGGGACTTGTAATATTTTTACATCAGCATTACTTCTCTGTAGCTGCTCTCATGAAAAAAAAAAAAAAAAATGTCCAGCCGAACAACAAGCACATTACCTGGTCATTTAAATTTAAATGTCAACTTGATTAGATAATAAGCTACAAAATGTCTGAACTGCTT